GAGAAGGTAGGGACTTGAAGTTCCTCAAAAACATCATGCTCAGGACTTCAGAAAGTGAAGTCCACAGATAGAGCAGGATCTTAGATGACTGGTTCACAGTCCAGTTTATGTATCACAGATACTCATTTGATTTCAAGATACATTACACAATTGTTCCTCACTTTCAGTAAAAGATGACTGTATTGCTATGCTTCCTCTTGAGCCTGACATGTCAAAGGTATGTTATGTGTTTCTTGGTCTCAAACTTGATGACTCTGCTGTGGAATTAAGAAGACTTCTGAGATCTGAGGCATGCTTGTATCCGCACTTTACACTTCACGGGTGTGGCAAAGCTACAGAGTATCTCAAGCCGTGTCCTCTGGTGGGCTGAGTTTAGTGAGCATGAGGCCTACCTACAGACAGGTCCTAGTCTAAAGCTTTGTGGTCTTCTGATAGAGATTGCAGCATAGCCAGAAAGGATTGAGGGCTGAGTCCTACAAGTGGTGAAACTGAACCTGAAGGTTTACGTGGTGTCCTCCTGGTTTTAATCCAGTGTAATAAGTGTACATCTCGGTGAGTGCAAAGCTAAAACAGGAGTGGCTAAGACACGAAAGACTAGAGAACAACTCTCTGTAATAGATAAGGAGATCACAAACATTATTTTCAAAGCTGCACACCACCCCCACCCCGTCCTGTGAAGGAAGTATGGGGTTTTGTTCGGGGAGCCTGCACATAATTAGATAGAAAAGCAGTGTGAGGGTCAGCACATTCCTGAGTGTGCTCAATTTAAGTAGGAAAGTACTCAAGGTCAAGTAGAAAAGATGACACATTTTTTAGCACGCTTCATACAAATTATGGAACAAATGTTCTAAAGGGCTGAGTATTTGAAAGGAACACCCCTAAGCATGCTTAATTTTCTCCAAAAGACTATAGCTGAAGCAAAAGAAAGGGGCACTGGGGCACTTTGAAGGTGTATGAACACAGGCATTTCTCCCTAAGGGTACTGCTTTAGTTAATGGGTAAAATCTTAGCAGCTGTAGGTCATTCACCTAATCTATATACCCAGGGGCTGTGTGGCACCACTCTGCGGCCACAACTGTCCTACTTCACTCCCAGTGTGGATATAGAGAGGGCCTGGCACACCCCGTCAGTGCAAGTTAATGTCTGAACCCTCTCCACCTAGGAACTCGGTTCCTTTCCTACCAACGCATTACTGTCCCTAGACTGCTTTACAGCCTCATTGTCACACGCACAGAATATGAAGCTCAGCAACGTTGTGCGGTCAAACATAAGTAAGCTATGCAGTTTATCTGTTATTTAACAAAACAGCGTGTTTGTCCTCGGTTTTATCTCATTAGGGAGTTGCATGTTCTTCATATTCAAAATACCACGTGTGTGAATAATGATAAATTCCTTCAAAGGGAAAACCATGGGCCCTTCAGAGCCTGAAAGTTTCCATCTATGGCCTACAATTGGCAATGAAGACAGTGTGGGTGTCTGTTTTGAGCAGGGCCGGGTCACTGAGCTGCGCTGGTCAAGTTGGGCTCTCTGGGGCCAGCAGCCACTGTCTCTCACTCACTTCCTTTTCTGTTAGTTGCATGACTCAAATCTCAGGGAATTCCAAGGGGAATCAGAGGGTAGAAGCAGTTAAACATGAACGGGATGCACTTTTCCTGGTGAATGATGCTTTGTTGGATGACTTATCCCCTAAGAATGCCTGAGTCAGATCCAGACAAATGGAAGAAATTAGTCTGGGATATTAGGAGACCCTTGATGCCGTGTCCCTAAGGACACACGTGGAGCTTATTCTGAAACCACTTTCTCCTCCTGTGAGGCTTCAGAGATCTTTGTTCCTCCTGCTTGGGCCCAAGGACAAATGATACTGTTGAGAGTGGACAACCAGGCTGTCACTGGAGAGAGAACTAAACTTTAGAGAGACCCTTCGAGGAAAGAATATAGAAACTGCTGGGGACGCCAGCATGATCTGTGCTTGCCCTTGAGCCAGTGAATGTGTCCAGTCTAAAATAAAATATAAGGAAGGACTTGAGAAGTGGCTCTGAGGATGCAACCTAGCCCTTTCCCCTGACTGTCATATCCATTTTATAAACTACTTCCACTGTAAAGTCAGACTTAATTTCCTAAAGTCTGACTTTACTATCAGAGAGGAAAAAACCTGTTTCTGTCCTACATTGACATTGCCCCATGATGCCCTTCTCAGGCTGCAAGGACCACAAGTGTGTGTGTGTGTGTGTGTGTGTGTGTGTGTGTGTGTGTGTATCAGAATATATTTTCATACATCCTTAGGAGTCTGCACTCCTGTAGGGTAGAGAGGCCAATAAGTAGGGGTAGTCCAAAATAGAGCAAGAGATGTCTGGGAGTTCCCTGCTTTGGGGACACCCCAGGGGTTAAGCAAGAGGAAGCTGTTTCATTTTGAACACAGTGCCACTGCTCTAGGGACAGGGGTGATGGGTAAGGACCATTGGGTGAGAGGGTGGGCAGCGGGTGTGTTGGGTACTGTATTAGGTAATTTTTTCATTTTTGTGGCAATATACCTGACAACCGTAGCTTAAGAAAGGGAGGGCTTATTTTGGGTCATAGTGTAAGGGTTCAGCTATCATGGTGGTAAGAGCCTGAGGCAGGTCACATGCAGCCACGATCAGGAAGGTCAGGGAGATGAATGCCCAGCTTGCTCTTTCCATCTTTACTCTAAATTTACCATGTGCACGGTGAAGAGCAAGCATTAAAGGGAACCACTGATGTCTGTAGCAGTCCCAAATGACACGGGAGAGGCCGTGTCTAAGTAGGGCTTTTTTCCTTACTCCTGGTCTGCACATTGACTCCGCTTGTCCTTGTCCTGTGGCTTGCTGTTCAGTGGACTGTGATGGAAACCAGTCAGATTCAGTGCTGTTTGTCCTCACTCTGGTGGTAAAGACCGTGATAACACTTTTCTAAGATGTGAGAGTGTCCCTGCACTAAACAGCTAGGGCTGAGCTGCCACGGTAAAGACTTGCGGCCACACAGTGAGGACCTCCTCTGGCTGCTGAGTTTCTCACATTTTTTTTTTCTTTCAAACACACCTAAGGACAAATTTCAGAATCACTCACAGGTCTCAAGGCCCTGGTTGCTGCACTTCCTGCTTTTGCTCCATCTAGTATTTTCTACTAATTTCGAAAGTTAATTATTGTCCTAGTTAGGTTTCTATTGCTGTGATAAAACACCATGACCGTAACAACTTGGGGAGGGAAGGGTTTATTTTAGTTTATACTTCCAGGTAACAGTGTATCACTGAAGGAAGTTAGGGCAGGAATTCAAGGAGGGCAGGAACTTGGAAGAAGGAGCTGCTGCAGAAGCCATAAAGGAGTATAGCTCACTGACTTGCTCCCCATGGCCTGTTCAGTTTGCCTTCTATTGGCACCCAGGGCCACCCAGAGGGGGCACTTCCCACAGTGTCCTGAGCCCTCCCACATCAATCAACAGTCACGAAAGTACACAGAGGTTTGTTCCCAGACCAATCTGATGGGGCATTTTTATAACTGAGATTTCTGCTTCTAAAATGACTTTACCGTATGATCACATTGACAAAAAGCTACCCAGAACAATTATAGTAAATTATAACAATTAAAAGTCTTTATAAGGTAAAGGCTTTATGCTATTGGCTGTGTGAAGGCCTGTCGCTGGCTTTCATGTGTTATCTCATTCTTTACAGACAGAAACTTCACAGGTCATAATCACATCTGATTTTAAATCAGAAAATTGAATCCAGGGATGCTCATGACTCATTTGTATTGGACCAAGGTATAGTTTCACCTCAATAAATCCACCCATATTTTAGATCTTCTCAGTGGAATATATTGTTTTTCAAGTGTTTACTGTATTATCTTCCCAAGAATCTTGGGATGTTAATGGAATACGATAACGAAATAGGCAGGCAAGGAAGGGTGGAAGGTAGGTGGGAAGGCTCACATGCCCAAGTAGCCTCAATGGTAGTTATAAAGAGGCACACTTGCCATTATCTAGGTCACTCTGTTCATATGGTCAGAATGCCTGGGGGACAATAGAAGCGAGATATCAAGAGACTGAAGGGAAGCTCTTTAAGCTTGGAAGAGTAAACAACTCAATAGCTTCAGGAAATCCCTGAAACTGACCAGATTTACCAGGCCCCTTATTCCTCATATCTATCTATCTATCTATCTATCTATCTATCTATCTATCTATCTATCTATCTATCTATC